GCGCATCCCTGCATTCTGCACAGTAGAAAAGACAATGAAAATATAAACCAAGATAAAACTCTAGATGAAATAGATATCACAGATCTAGGTTCATTTTATTAGGATAGCAGCATGAAGAATCAATTTGGATATATAACAATAGTTTGAGAATCATTAGAATGGGTAAAGAACATGTGGACCATAAATATTTGAAGAAAGAAAGACTAGTCTGCTATCTTTGAGTAGGCACAAAGAAAAAAATTCTAATTTCAGAACAATCATCTTACCTGCGATTTCTGGTCTTTCTCTAAGCTAATCTCAACTACATTAAAGCAAATGTTATTAAATCAAGTGCAAGATTAATAAACAGTGATACAAGAGTGAGAAGCTCAACAAGGAGAAGAATATCTCACTTTGTTACACGGGCACTTCAACTAGGGTAGCGTGTTCTTGTCCGATACGTATCGGACATGTGTCGCCGTGTCGGATAACGACACTCCTCGAACACTTTACCATAGTCATTTTTCTTTTTTTATAAAAAATATTATACATTTTTAAATTAAAGTTATTATTAAATAACAAATAGGTACTCATATTTAAAAGATTTCAATAAGAAAAATTAATGGCAAATATAGCACTAAATTTATACCATATAAATGAAAATTTTTAAAGAATTTAATCAACGTCTCAGCAACGTGTCATGTCAATACTTTTTTTAAAAAATCGCATATCGACGTATCCGACATGTGTCAGTGTCGGTGCATCAAATATCTCATATCTTCTAGAAAGATTCAACCTTCATGTTTGTTGAACTCAAAATTTCATGTATCATCACAATTCGGTCAAAATCCAGTTGTCTCCGAGTTCCAGCCTCATGCTCACAAATGACAGGAAATAGCTTCAATTTTCCAACTTTACTCGTCTTAAAAGTAAGAAAATAATACCAAGTGGAAGACATACTAGGATGGGCAAAACATCACAGTGAACAAAACTGCATGAACTTATTTTTATAAGAGTCGAGTTCATAATTTGATTATTATTATTAAGATTTGGGGGTCCATCTTAAAAGGTCAACCTTATTAAAAGGAGTAGTCCAAAATCTTTATTAATTGGTCTGTGTCAACATCTTTATTCGATGTGGGATTATATCCCTTAACACGCCCCCGCAAGATGGTGGCTCATTTGAGCAGACCAATCTTGAAATCCACGTGCTCACTTTTTGGAGTCTTACCGGGATCGAATCGCTCGTTGGAGCATAATGGGCTCTGATACCATATTAAGATTTGGGGGTCCATCTTAAAAGGTCAACCTTATTAAGAGGAGTAGTTCAAGATCTTTATTAATTGGTCTGTGTCAACATCTTTATTCGATGTGGGATTATATCCCTTAACAATTATATTCAGGCAGATTGAAGTAGTCAATTAGCCACAAAAGTACAAAAACAGATGCTTGGATTTGTGAGAGTCAGTCACATACCTGATAACAAAACTTAGTACGTTTGCAATTGAGAAAATTAAACAAAATGATTTTGTCAAGGTGGACCACATGAAAAAACAAGGGCATTAAGATATTTATTTCAAAGCGTACGCATTACAAAGCATATCAGAACTTACAGGTATCAACTTGTGTGGGAACTGAAGACCATCAGAGCCAATAAATGCTCCTCCATTAACCCTCTCATCTTGTAGTGTTTCCCCTGCAGAAAGAACAAATTGAGTCAATAAAGGTCCTGAGAGAAAACAAATATTAAAAACCTCAGATTTCACAAGTCCTTGTACTTCCAACATTTTTGAGGAGAGCCTTGTAATGAGTCCATAAGGCGTTCAAGTAAACCAAAGCTTTTTATATTGACAATTAAAATAATCATTGTTAACATCTAAAAGGGGAAAGAGGAGAGTAAAAATGGGATGGATCAAGTCTCTAGGAGTTAAAAGAAAGATAACATAACTAAAAATGAAAATTGTGAAGAGTGGGTGTGGGTGTGGGTGTGGGCGTGGGCGTGGGCGTGTGTCTGAAACAGAGACGAAAAGAAATGGATAGAGACAGGAACTGTCAATAAACAAAAAAATATTTCTTTTATGTGCGGAAAGTTATTTACCAAATTTATCTGGAGGCGCAATAACTGTCCCTTTCAACAAATGCGATAACTAAGAAAAAAAAGAAACATTGGTCAGGAGCAACTGAAAAAGAAATCCATGAATTTATCTTTACTAATTAGCTTATGTAAACAACTAACAGTATGGGATATTTATTCACAAGTAGAATACCAGAAGAACTGCCTAACTTATGTTAAGGATTTTCTCGCCAATCTTAGCGGAGAGGGAAAGAACACGACACTTCACAGATTATGAAGTTAAAGAACAGAAAAATGAGGATTAGGAATATCACAGCAGCCATGACAGCATTTTAAATGTCACAGTAAGTTAAAACCTTGGTCAGGAACAGGTCATGGAAAGCTCTTCCTTTCTCCTTCAACTTTATTACATCCAAATTGCTGGGAGAAAGCAAAGGAAACAAGATTACTTCATAGCATAGAACCGTGAACAAACATAAAATATAGATCAAGAAAACATAGTTCGACTCTCCTCAACCACCTCCCAACCCTGGCCTCCTCCTAAAAAGGGTGCAAAATCATAATTAGAAATGGAAAAAGAATGGGAAGATTAATTGTCTTAGGAGACAATGTAGGCTGGGTTCAATTTTTCCTATAACTCCTTACATGTGCTTATTTTTCAATAAATAGATAGCTACTAGATTTGAACACATATCGCGTGGCTCTCATACCATGAGTAACATCTCATATAAAAGCTTAAGCTAATAAGGTCACATGAATTCAATTTGGCAAATTTATAAATCAATTTATAAAGAGAAATAGTATTGGGTAGTTATGAATATGTGCTTGAAATTAATGTTTGATTTTGAGTAATTTAAAAATTGGATGCCAAACGGACACTTAAGCGTGTGTCTGGTGCAGATTTTTGTCCACCAAAAATGGCTTTTTTGCCCGTTATTTTCAAAAGTGGCCAACAATTTTTGACTATATGTGAGTTAGGTGGGACCTGTCAGCCATTGGTAACGGTCAAAAAAAGGCTGAAAATGGAAACATTCAGCTGCACCAGACAAGGCCTAAATCTTGTCTTCAACGCTTCATTTCAGATTAATTTCTAGATATATCCAGAATTTAGGAATCAGTTACCCGATTTTTTAGCAGCCTTATAAATATAAATCTTATCTCATGTGCCTCATTTTTTAGTACAATGAATATAATTTCTGTTCTTCCTTATCCGCATGGTATTGGGGAAAGTGTAGGTCTCGTGTTCAAGTCTCACACTATCCATTTATAAAAATTGTATACTCGTCAGGTCTTTCTTGAAAATGAATTTGTCATCCACGTTAGGGGGGGCCTATGAAAACATAATTTAAATAATAAGATTGTCATCATAGCTTAAATTTTTAGATGAGACTGTTCAACTTCTGGTAACTAATGGATCTAAACTAAGTAATTCCACCACCAAATATCATTCAAGTGATGGAGCTTCATAAAACAGATTTCTTAATTATCTATCTGTTCACGTTTTTCTTGTAAGCTACAGGGTAAGAGACACTACATACCTGAGTTCCTGATTTATTTCAATTAGCTTCCTCATAGTGCTTCGATACTCTTTTTCAAGAAGTGGAATGATCATTGGCACACTGTCCATATACCTTGTGAAAATGTATATCATAAATTTTATGTCAGCTTTAATTAGTCGTTGAACCAGATACACGACCCAGTAACGTGTAATATATTTACCTCTTCTGCAGCAACTCTTCCAAAAATAGCCTAAGGCTGCTAACTCCTATTCTGCTTCTTTCCTGTTTTGAAAGTGATCTTCCCAACTTCTCCTCTAAAGCTGTGATATCTTCCATCTCTCTCAAACAAATAGCCTGTCACAGGAAGTTGCATTCTGGGTCACGGCATGAAACAGAAAAATATACAGAAATTAAAAGCTATAACATAGCGAATCCCGCCTCTGTGCCACGCCTCAGCATTGGGCCAAATTTGCCAAATCCTATACCAGAACCATTTGTCTTTATCCAACATGATAGTTGGCCCAAAACAAACGCAAAGAGTAATTTTTCAACCAAACATGGACTATCATAAAAATAGACGAATTTTGCTGAGCAATAATGAAAAGCCAATATATAAATAGCACGCCTAAAAACATCTCAGATAACCTCTTGGTATATCATTATCGGTGTATCCTCAGATACCAAATCAGATTTATTTCTAGATGGATAATATATCAATTAAAATATTTTTAAGACATTATCAAATTCATATGGCAATGAAGTATATGGATGAAATAAGCACCAAAGTACACTGATAAAAATGTTATTAAAATCCGAGAAAATTGTATCAGAACAAAAAACCAATTACAATGATGTTACTATATGTACAGTGGGTTAACTATACATAAGAAATGTCATAGAAACTAAAAAAATTCTGTCTGCTACCATTTGTTGGTGTCCGTGATGTTCGATACTGCCCAATATAAGCTGGTGTAGTACGGTAAGACCATTAACGATTGCTTATACATTGATAAAAGTACCTGAAGTTTTCAATTGAGGACTAGTTCATTGCCTATTAGAACTAGAAGACGCTCTAGTGGGATCTCCACGGAGAGAAGATTGAGTCAATTTGATAGTGAGTGAGTGATTTTAGCATTCGCATAATAACTAATATTCATATTCTAATCTCCGACAAATGTGCCTATGGGTGCACAAGTTATACAAGAAAAACCCCCAAACATGGAGAATTATTTGCTGTAGAACATGACACTCTGTTTACATTGTCAAGATTAAAATTCCTAATTCAGTAAGATGAACAAATGCCATTATACATTTTTTATATGCTCGATCTTACATTGCATAGCATGCAAAAGTGGAACGTTATAAGATATTAACATCCACTGCATAATTACTATTAGAAATACTCCTTTTATTTCCCAGAGATAGTTTATATAGAATATTGAAAAAAGAATGTGATAAGAATTGCCTGAAAGGAGGGAATTTAATAATGAAAAGTAAACAGTAGTCTTTTGGGATTTTTTTCTGTATTTTATTCAATGGGAAATGTAAACTCAAGATAACAGAGGAATTGAAAGATAACAGTCCAGCACTTCGAGCAGCTGGCAGTCTTCACAATGAAATTCAATATTTTTCTGCCTGCCCTTCCTACCTTACTCCCTCCCTTACATATAACCCTTCAAGTAACTACTCTAACAAATTGGCTAACAAATTGAATAACAACTTCTAACAGAATGAGCGCCCACAAAGTAAATCTAGAAGTTTCTGTGCCACGTTTGTCATTTGGTTAACTCCCCAGTGTGACTGTTTTTCCTTTTGTGTCTAGTATAGGTCAATCTAATTGGGGGCCTATCAGAATGCTCTGGGTTTCGTTGTATAATGTGGGGCATTCTTAAAACTAGGAGACAAAAAGGAGAACCAACATGTGTTTACTAGTCATATTAGTTGTTCAAACACGCATAAGGGCATCCATCAGGTGCCCTTATCAGCATCAATTACCTCTTATACAACTAACTCAGACAATAATGCAGTTAGGTTGATATTGAGGTCTAACCTGTTTAAACTCATCATTCGATCTGTAAACTGATTCATGACCAGACCCAACTCTTCCAGAAGGAACAGATGTGAAAAAGGGTGAATCGCCTAACATGAAGCCATCAAGAGTGCATGCAGGCGGTGAAAGAAAAACATCCACATCTGAAGCTCGTGCGAACTGAGGTATTTTTGTGTCAAGCTTTGTTGAGACAACTACAGTCCTTGAAAGTTCAGGATCAATCTATATGAGTATGCAAACAAATTGTGTTTAGCGTCAAACTTCAAAGATCCTCAATTATTTTTGTTCTTTTTCTAGACCATCATAATTTCCCAAAAAGACCTCTTAAAATTAATAGATATAGGACAAAAATGCAACACACTTGCATCACAATCCTCCGTGTTGTGGCATTACTCCAATCGTTGCAATCTTCAAGGCATAATATAATGAATTCTTTGTGCTGTATTTTGGCTCGCACCAAAGATTCCACAGCACGAGCTTGAGCCTGCCATAGATAGGTTCACAACATTCAACACATAATTGCTTCAAAAGTAAAAAATATAGAGCATGTTTGAGCCTCATTTTTTTTCAAAAATACATTTTGGAATAATAATTTGATGGAGAATGTGTGGTTAAAAAATAAGGAAAAGTTTTGGGTTTGCGTCTTTGCAATAATATTATTTTATTAAAAAATGTGTGGTTGAAAATAAGGGAGGGAAAAATGCATTTTGAAAATAATGAGACCAAACAAGGACATATAATTTTCTTTTCGTCCTTTAACCTGTAAAGAACGACTTTTTCGAGCAGGTGCAGGCGCAATAAGTCCTGGAGTGTCAATAATGGTAAGATTCGGACAGTATTTGTATTCAATTCTGATTATTATTTCTTTTGATGAGAACTGATAAGGTTCCTGTTCCAGCCTCATGTTCTCGGCTTCAATATATGCCTACACAAGATCATGCAAATCTTGATGATTATTGTGGAGAAGATAAGCAATTAAGTATTATCTCATGACTAGGCCTAGCAGCAATTTAATTCATAAACTTCACAAATTAATGCAGTTACAAATAACATTTCCTCCACAAAGGCGGGTATAATTATTTGTCATCATTTTCTTAGAAACTGCTTCTGCATGCCTTCATGATATTATTGCTTCAGGAAGTTTTATACAAGAATTTTTCTGCCACAAACATACATAAACTAAAAAAGTCATTTCTGATTAAGATCTTACTCAATTTAGATCCCACTCCATTTATATACAAAGTTGATATTTTTAAATTTCTTCTGTATACTATGCTACCACCCTTGGATATCCTTAAACCTCTGAGACTTGAAGTTGTAATGCAAGTACACAGTTCTCTTTCTTCGTTAACAGTATTATTCCTAAGTGCAATCCTGCGTTTCTTTGGTTTATTTCCTCAATCATGTTCCATTCTCACCTTAATTTAAGTACGTGAAGTCAGTCATATATGTTTCTCTTGTATTAATTAGCAAAGAGTTTTCAAATATAGAAATTAAAAGTGAGGTTGGGGCACCCCAGATGATTAGAACATTCAATTTGTGATAGAGGTTCGTGTCTTAACTCTTAACAATCTAGAATTATATATCAAAATGGACGTTTCTTCCCACTGAATTAAGTTGGTTCAAAGTAATTTCCGATCTTCAAAAGTTCATTTCTTTTAATTTCCATTCTTGCCTAAATTCACTTGAGCATTATACCATATCGATCCAGGATTCTTTGCACATCAATTACTAAACCAAAAATAAGTAAATAACTTTTATATACTCGTATAAGAAAGAGACATCTATTTATTCAGAGAGATCTCACTTCACCACCCTAGAATATCTGCATCAACGTGACAATGTGAACAGGTTACTCCTTTCATTCAAGTTTCTATCCCCTACGCAATTGACATATGAACTCTCAACTTTGGCAAAATTAACTCTCTTGAACAACATTTTTTCCTACTACAAAAGAGAGAGAGAGAGAGAGAGAGAGAGAGAACAAACATGAAATTTGTGTGTGGTCATTGTGCCCAGCACAGACATTATGTCTATTTGAGGGCAATATTTGAGGATAAACAAAAACTTGAGCATTTTTTCCAGAACTTCATGAATGTTGATTTTTTTACACAGCATACCGCCAAAATATTTACAAATATCTTATATGTATAGAATTATAGCAAATAAAAAGAAAACATTTCCCAAATAAACTAAGCCTCGCTTAGCCCATATAATTATTAGCAATGAAACAAAGCATGTTTGGCAAATCTAAAGACGCCTATTCATCCATACATATAAGAGTGCTATCTTTTTGGGTGTTTGTGTTTAAAGTATAATAACAACCTGAATTTCTTGGAGAGATTTTTCCTGGAAAACAGACGGGTCAGATTCGGCCAACAAATGGCAGAGGGGAGAATGACAATCCGGGTTGTACTTCATGTGGAGAGTAATAGGACAGCGAGTCTTGGTTCCACCGCCAACATGGTTGAACTGGAAGCCCATAAGGGCCTCCACAAGTGCGCTCTTGCCGTCGGTCTGGTGGCCCACCATCAGCACCGCCGGAGAATCGAACGGTGTCTCGAACTCCTGCGCCAACCCGTGCAGCTCATTATACGCCTCGTAGAGCCTCTGTTGCGTCTCCATTTCCGGTACAGTGTTGTTTGAATTCGCATCTTTTGTCGAGTCTTTCTCCATTTTCAATCACTCAGTGTGTGTTGGTGAGGAGCGTTGAGGGAGGGAAAGTGTGCGACTGTGTTTTGGGTCCAAGCTTGAAAACTGTACTTGTACATAAATAATAATCATAAGCAAATAATTAAGGACATGTTTGGCTTTGATATTTTTTTTTTTTTTTTTATACCCAAGTGTCCACCTTCGACGACTTATCCTGGGGTCTACGCCTTGGCCTCTCAAGACGCAGATGAGGTAAACCGCGGGATGTGTCCCAAATTGGCCAGAATCCAAGAGTCCCCTCCACTGATCTGCCAAAGTGCCAAGCGAGTCAATACATGTTGCACCGAAAACTTCCAAGATAAATCCCGCCTTCCAGGAAAAAGTCTGCCTTCCAAGAGCCCCACGAATTGAACTCGCGACCTCTGAACTGCCAGAAACTAAGAGCCCCCGTGCTTTGCCAGTTGGGATGTGCCCCGGGGGCAAAATGAAATAAGAGGCTTTGATAATTTATTTGTAAGTAAGTTTGCTTATAAGCAAATAAGAAAGCTAAAAAAATTTTTGAGCACAGTTCTAAAATATATTATTTTGTGTAGACTAAATTGGAAAATAAGTGAATTACTTATTCTGATAAAACAAATAATTCTTTACCTAGCAGTAAAAAAAGGTATATTGTGTAATAAAATGTTCTTAAACTAACTTTTTCGGACACGAGCATCGACCCAAACCCAATTATAAGTCATGAAAAAATAAAAGATCATGTCAAGTAATTGACTTCTCACATAACTAAATTAAAATTTAAAAATAGAAACTATAACAAACAAGGATTGCTTATTCAATGTTGTTATTGTATTATAATAATTAGATTCAATTATTGAGATTGATAGATATCGTGACTTTCAAAATTTTAAACTTCGTGCTACATAAATAAAAATACGATGTATTTGAAAAAGTACTTCTCAAATGCTAATAAATAGAGAAGCCATCAAGTCGACGTGGTAGAAAAAAATAGACTTTGTCTAGAGTTTCGTTTAAATACTAATGCTTTGTTAGACAGAGTTACTTAGCAAAAATAATATTTAAAAACATATATATATTTCATACATTTACGGTAATTCATAGAATACATCGAAGATTAATTTTGGTTTTGACCATCTTTTCATTAGACATCAATGTCGTGCAGTTGAAAAATCTTTCAATTTAAGTCCATGTTTAGTACACATTTTGGAGGTAAGAATGCATTTTTACTGTTGACGTGATGGAGAATATGTGGTTGAAAATGAAGGAAAAATTATTGATATGATGGAAAATATTATTTTATTATAGAATATGTGGTTGAAAATGAGTAAAATAATGAGAATGAAAAAAATAATGTAGCTCAAACATGGCCTAAATGTCACGTAAGCTAAAATCCATAACATGCGCTAAAGATGTTCCGAGGAGAAAGTCGTCGCCACTAGCGAGATATACTCCAAATTTCAAAATAAATTTTCTTTTTACCAATTAAAAGTGAAAGAAAAAAAATGTTAAACTATTGCAATGGTAGAAATAAAAACTCATTTTAAATGAATTACGTTTTCACTTGAGAAATTAAAAAATAAAGTTTGGAGTTTTTAGCCATTCCAAAATTCTGGATTTTGTAATGCTTTGGACATCCGAAGCCACTGGATTTGGATAGAAAAGTAGTTCATTGGTCGGGTTTGGATTTGGCCCAGAAGGGATAGGAATCATAGGATCGATAACAATACATACTAGGAATTTCGTACCACAAATTTCTACACACACTTGAAGCCGGTGTGAGTCCCATTTTTTACCCAAAAAAAAAAAAAAGCATTTTGGAATAGTGATTTGATGGAAAATGTGTGGTTAAAAAATAAAGAAAAGTTTTGGACTTGAATTTAATATTATTTTATTGAAAATGTGTAATTGAAAAGAAAAAATATATATATTTTTTGAAAATAATGGAATCAAGCAAGGGCTTAATAAGAATTACGATAAGAAAATGGAACGATGTACTATAGTTTGCGTAGTCGGATCAGATGTATCATAAGGGGTTTTTCTTTTCTATTGATTTTTACAGGTTGGATCAAAAACAATTCTTGAATGAGGTTAGGGAACAATCAAAAAAAGAAATCTTTTTTGCTTCTACCTACTATTTTTTATGAAGATAATGAATTTTTTTCTCGAATGATCAGAAAAAATGGGTGAGGGATCTCCTACGGGAATAATTTGAAAGATTCAAAATGAAAAATAGTGGTATTTGCTAACAACAACTTAATAGATGCGGTCAATCAATCAAAAATCTGATTCAAATTCAATTTAGTAACACTTTTTGTTTATAACTCTAATGTTCGACCTTGATTGATTACAATGAAAAACATAATCTTAAGATTCAAAATGACGGCATAGCACAAGTTGCCATAAAATAATCTTCCGAAATAATTTGATTATTAATATGTGAAAATTGAACTATCGCACACACTGTGTACAATAAGTTTGACATTTCAGGATGTGTCAAAATCTATGTCGTTGATTGTTTAAAGTGTTGTTAAAATCGATGTATAAAAAGTTGTTACCTCACAATAATGTCAAACTTGATGTACGTATAGCAAAATTGAATTTATACTCTTGCTTACTGTTTATTTGGTACAAAATGAAGTGTTCGTCGAGATAAATAAATTGTATTTGTAATTATACAAATTTTTGTCAACTTCCATGCTTTCTGTTATTTAAACGACTGAATTTTTCTGTCAAAAGGGTCTCGCTGATATGAAACTGCCACTTTCAGTGCTTATTTGGAAGTTTTTAAATCATAATCACTTCTAATAGAACGTATTTTTTATCTACACATTTCGTAATAAGATCCACATTTACTGCTCACCATTTATACACACGTTCTATAAGACTCGCTCATTAAACTCTCCTAAACAAGCAAATGTCTCTATGGTGCCTGATAGGTGTCAAAATTATAGTACAGAGACAGCCTCGACTCGAGTGAACTTGTCGTACGACTTGAACCACTTGTAATTTTTTAAGGTTAGCCTAACATGCTCAAAAATATGCATTGGAGAATTTATGAACATAAATAATTACAAAATACCCAACATTCAGAAGTACATTGGGAATAAAAATCCTCTTAAGACAACATACCACACCAAATTACATGGCATCACTGGACAATTTTCAAGCCTTAATACACAGTTATAACATTAAGAAATTCAAAATACTAGCACAAACCACAACTCTGAAGATTTTTTTACAACCAATTTGAATCCCCATCAATAGCATTGTTCAGGTTACCCCCAAGTAAGGACATGAGTCCACCACCGTGCACCCTTCCCTCCTGAACCTCATCATAATCGAAGCTCTTTCCAGCACCGGCACTGGCAATATTGTCGAGGTCGCTGGTATTGATCTTTTCCACTTGCTTCTCGGGACATGATGAGGCCTTCATCGACAAAGGAATCAATACCTGAGGAGGTATGAGCAATCGCCTTTTAGCTGGTTTTTCAAGCGAATTGGGAGAATCCGAGATCACACTAACTCCAGATGAAGCATAAGTGTTGGCGAAGCTGTTCCTAGAAGTAGAGGCAGCCGGTACCAATCCATGGAAGAGTCGCGGTCCAAGCATTCCTTCTTCATTCGTTGCCCGTCCCCGAACCAGGCTGCTATGTGCAGCACATAGCCCACTCTTCCCTCTTGCAAACTTTTCACATTTTCCTCCACCCCAGTAGCACCTCTTTCCACCACCATGCGCCTTGCAGAAGTCGGTGCTTCCTTGAGCGCTTTTGTCACAGTTATCAAATTTACAACGCTTTCCTCCACCATGCCTGACACAGCAATCAGTTCGGCCACGAGCACTCTTGCTACAGCCTGGAATAACACACCTCTTTCCACCACCGTGAGCAACACAGAAATTGGTACCTCCGTGCACACTTTTTGGGCATATCCCACCACCATCATAGAGGCAACGTTTTCCACCACCATGCCCTTTGCAGAGAGGCGTACTCCCTTCGGCACCTTTGGTGCACCCTACAAATATACACCGTTTTCCACCACCATGTGCTTTGCAAAACATGGTGCTACCTTGCGCACCCTTAGTACAACCCAGGAATTGGCATCGTCGTCCACCACCGTGGGAGATGCACAGGCCAATATGTCCCTCAGCACTGCGAGCACAACCTTCCACCTCACACCTCTTACCCCCACCATGCCTGAGGCAAAGACCAGACTTCCCACGGGCCGCTCTAGTGCACCCTTCTTGATGCCGGCACCGTTTTCCACCACCGTGTGCTATGCAGTGGTCCGTCTTCCCTTCAGCACTTTTAGTGCATCCAAGATGCTCGCACCTCCTGCCTCCTCCATGGCCTTTACAGTACGCAGTGCGGCTCTCAGCACCACTACTGCATCCAGGTTTCTGGCATCTCTGTCCGCCCCCATGGCCAATACATAGACCCGTTCCCCCTCGTGCTCCTTTTGTACATCCGGCAAACTTGCACATTTTTAGGTTGCTGGTTATGTGGTCTGAAGATGCCCCAGGTAGTGTAGGTTCAGATATGGAGCCCCTCGAATAATTAGAGACAGTACAAGGTTCAGCACTGAGCTCGGAAACATGGCAATGAGATTTTGTACCAAAATTTGAAACCTCATCAGTCATCAACGATATTTTGGTACTTCCCATTCTAGGAGCCAAAAGAAGTGTAGGCATATAGCCACTGGATTTCTTGGCTGACGTAGAACCCTCATCAACAACAGGGATTGCAAGCCTATGACCATCTGAAAACATTCGATCTCGGTGATGAAGTGCATCAGAAGCACTCTGCATAGAAGCAGAAAATTCAAGTATATTTGAAACTTCATCAGTATCCCCATACAGTCCTAGTTTTAGAATCAAATCACAGTCAGATGCCAACGCCTGAGTAAATACGGTTGTCGGACCTTTGTTTTTTTTACCCCTGGCTGCACAATAATCATCAGAATATGTACTGGGTGTTGGGCCCAATCCAAGCACTAATTTGCACCCATCGTCAGAAGCATTTGTATAGATACTTTGTCCTCCATCTTTTGTTCGACAGCTTCCAAATGCAGCTGTATCATGTCCTCCATAGCCAAAACAATCCAACCGTAGAGTGGTATCTCCAATATCCCCGTTCTTTCTCAGCTCACCTTTCCAAGAGGGAAACTTTCTGTTCGTATTAAGATCCATCATGATGTATATTATATTCTGAAGGAATGATGGGCCAGGTAGCACAAGAAACTAACAATATTTTAGTGCGAAGATCCATAAATCAAAATGAAAAAGGCAAGCGAAGTAAATCCGAACAAACTACCTCCACCACTCACAAAACCTGAGGTGTCCGACCTGTCCATTATATGAATGCCTTGTCGAAGCACCGGATATTCTTCTCAAAGCACTGTACAATGAAGAGAATGTGATAACATTTCTGGGATAGAACCCTTCCCACTAGTCTTATGTCGTAATGGAAGTCTTCTAACTTTGTTGACCTGATAGAAGAAAGAAACAAGGGCAACTCATTAATGCTTATACAGACAGAGTGGTGAAAATTTTAGCCCTTGTTTGAACCCCAATTTTATGTTGAAATGAATTTTGTAATAGTGATTTTAGGAGAATATGTAGTTAAAAAGTAAGGAAAAGTTTTAGGTTTATGTGCAAAATAATTTATTGAAAGAATGTGTTGTTGAAAATGAATTTAGACAAAAATGAGTTTTTGGATAATGAGGCTCAAACAAGGGTTTAATATGCTTGCCAAAAACAAGCAAACAACAACGGATTAATTTGGATGGGGTAGAGAGTTAAAATCCTTATGCACATGGCTTAACCATAAAAATATTATTATATTTTAAAAAATGAAACGAGAAAAGGAAAACAAATTTCAAATTATAAAAATGCATGTATACTTTGACACCTCGATGTTGTAAAACCATTAGAAAACATTTATGCCTTACAAACCAAATTAATACGTTTCTTCAGGACACTATATGGGGGGTATCATACACTAGCTAGTTAAGGAAACCTTAATCCAGAGGTCACAATTTGGCCCATTTAGCTTTAGAACAGAGCGGCAACCAGCAAGGCGCTATTAATTTATTATACTGGGATAGAAGGCATTAGTTAAGGAGAATATATGTATCATTGACGATGCAAAGAACATTATTACTATATTGGCACATCCCCGGCAACAAATACAAAATTTGAGGTCAGATTTTCACCACATTCCAGAAAAACACTCATAAAATAAGATTGTTCAAAATGAACATCAGAATATGCATGAATTATCATTGCATCAAAAATTAAGGTCAAAAGGATCATTCGTTCGTTTCAATTGGAACTCATACAGTTCCGCACATTAGGAAATGGTGGGAAGAGGGAAAAAGAAAACAATAACACGTATTCGAATATGAGGAAAAAAAACATCTATTTATAAGGAAGCCTATGTGTAGAACTCTACAACTTATTAGAATCCCTGTAGTACAGACAAATAAAAATGACCAAATATATAAAACTCAATTTGCAAAATCTAGAGAATAGATGGAAAATAAAAAATCAACAGTGATTATGATATGAATTCAACCTAACATGCGGTCCTATCATTAAAAGAAAAGAAAAAAAAAAGCTAAGTAAAAAATTCCATCAAAAAATGGTAGCCCCCAAATGGAAGTCAGTTGATATGAAAAATGGCCTTAAAATAACTATATGGACAATGCAAAATGCTTAAAATTCAGGTTACCGTGATTAAGTAAAAATATGCATCAGTTGAATAGCCAATATGGACAAGGGTGCTACAATTTGTCAGATAGATTTAAAACATAAAACTAACTGTATAATAAGGAGAAAGGTGACGTGTCAGGTGAAGATGAAAAAGATTCAAACAGAACCAGCTGTCTCTACAGCGTAATGGAAACGTGTCATTTTACATCAAATATTACATAGAACAATTTAAAACAAGCGGTAGGCGTAACAAAAGATTCAAATTAATTGATGAAGCGAAAACCAAAGTGGTCTAGGCCAAGAATTGATGAAAGGAGGAACAATGAATGAAAAAACTTGGGGACTAGAAGAAGTAAATCAAAGAAGGAATATCCTCCGTGTGGGAAATTACAACATAAGAATCTGAGGGTAAATAAATTAAGAGTTTAACAACTTAAAATAGCCTATTTTCCGTGTGAGAAATGTATCTTAAGATAATCAAAAGGCTAACTAAGCCCGTGTTTGACCCCATTTCTTAAAACTCATTTTTCCAAACTCATTTTTATTCACATATTTCATGGGACCCACTACTTTTATTAACTTTTCAACCGCACATGTCATCAACTTTTATCAAAATTTAGTTTTTATCCAAACCAAACATGGGCTAATATTCCAAATTATTTTTTCAAAACAGATATAGATAGCATTTGGCGAGAAGAAGTCCCAAGAAAGTAATTGAGGAAGAGATAAAATAAGAAAAGGCATTCCACTAAAAGATAGCCACGTTTTATGTTACTTTTTTAACTTTCTAGTCAGAAACTGTGTAGAATTTGAAGACTAAAGGTAGAGAATATACGACTAAGGGGCTATGATAATTACCTAACCATGTTATGGTCATAAGGCAAGATGTCAAATACCACTCACACACTTGATAGTTCAGGTAGCAAACGGCCAATGAAAACTATGAGAGGTTTAGTACTTCCCCATCACTCAAACACCGACAACCTTTCTCTCCCTCTGATTGAATGTAACAATTACTTTAAATCCTAAACCTTAATTGAAGCTTCTAAATAAATTAGAACAAATTATATGTTCAGTTTCAGAAATTTTAATCATAAATCATTCCATTGATTTCTACTAAACAAGATTTGACAGCTCAAAAACAATATTTTCTCCTCTAGTATGCATGCTCATCTCATTTTAGCTAGTATTCAAGTCTGAATTTCAGATCAAAACCTTTTATACCACCGCAGAGTTCTGCAACAAAACATGAGATCTAAAAGTTTACCACAGTAAAGATTATTGAATTAAACACTTGAAAAAGAAAAGCCTTCATTTTTCAGGAGTTTGTTAAACTTCTGGCCACACAAAACCCTCAAAAAGGGGGAAATTCCCATATTCACATACCGAAAATATAAAAGCCAAAAAAAAAAACCCATCAAACTATTTGCGGTAATTCCAAAGCAAAAGAAATAGAAAACCCACGTAAGTATAACTACAGAGGATCTAAGCAAGTATTCAATTAGTGCAAGACAGTACTTTAATGGAATCGACTCGAAAGAATTATAAGGAAGTGGAAATTACCCGTTAGAGGAAAATTCTGGAAATATGGCAACTTTCGGGAATCATTAACAGCAATTTTAGTCTAGAAAGAGAGTGCGTGTGAGAATTTGAGGGAGAGAGAGAGAGAGAGACGGAGAGCTACAGTGTACTCTTAGCTTTATTTTTCAACAATGAAATATTTTATGAGGGAATTCATTTTTTTCTATTTTTTAAACATACATTTTTAAAGTATCTTTATTCAAAACGTCATTTTCTCCCTATTACTCTTCATAATGACCATCAAATGAGAGCTTAATTAGGCGCCTGTTTGGCCCTCATTATTCTCCATTAAATTATAATTCATTTTTCTCTATCTTCTTATCAACAACACAATCTCCAATAAAATAATATTACACGTAAATTCGAAAAGTTTTCATTTTTTTTAACCACACATTCTCCAAAAATTATTGTTCCTTTCATTATAATATTGAATAATGTGGGCCAAACGGGCGCTAGATTAATAAGCCACTATTTTCATCCATCATTTTTATACCTTTTGTTGCTATGGTTCTATTCTTATTAAAAATTTTAAAAATTACTATATTAATCATCCTTATAACTTGACGGCGTCCTAATATATTCTAATGTTATCCTTGTTAAATTTATGCATTTAAATAATATGAACTTACCATTTTTATATATCTATTTTTGTTAAGTGTCCGAATTTTGTCACTTTGCCACAAGAAAATTAACAGATGTAGTAATATAATTCGAGGTGGCAACAGATGGTATGATGGAAAAAATCGAACGTGTTTAAACGGTTCAATAATTTAATATCATGTGATGTTATGTCAATAATTATGTCAGTACATATGGCAATATCTCTAAATGGCCTCGTAGTTCACTCAATTTTCCTGAACATTTCACCAATAAAAACAAGGGGAATTTTCGAAACTGTCACTAAATTTGAAAATCCAAAA